GAATCTCCTGTAGTGCACAATAATTAATCTACAACTAAGATTCACCTTTGGAATACAAAGATTTAATTATAATTTTGAATTAATTGCAAAATTTAAAATGAATTCATGCATCAGAGTAAACCTTTTTTATCAGATATTTGTGAAATTCAAAAGTAGTTCAATGAGAAAATTTTGTTTAAGAAAGTATATACTATATATATATATATATACACACCTTTAGATTGTTGATTAAGAAAAATATTAAATTGCATGAATTTTTAGTATCAAAAAGAAATAGCTATATTTAATGATATAAAAGTAAATGCTCAAAGAACAAAAGTCTCATTCAAGTTACTTACATTTGTAATATTTTTTAGACCATTATTTTTAGTATAAAAGAAATGAAAATTATGATTGAGTCTGCTATGTATGATTTCCTAGATATATGGATTGACACGCATACCTTATGTATGTGAAATTATATGAATATCAAGCTCACATTAATTATTTATGCAATTAAATACTTTTGTCATTATCTGTTTGTTATACAGTTAAAATGTAAAATTTATATTTATTAAAAGATAGTCCAAACCAAGCAGCAAGAAAATTTGTAATACAGCCTTTATAAGAAACCTCTAATGCTGTGATTCCATGAAAAAATACATTGACTATTTTTGTACACTTGGTGGAATAATTATGAAAAACTATTTTATTTCATTTAACATAACTACATAATTCTGGGCATATGCAGTCACTTATTTAAAATTCTTCTGCTAGTTTGATAATAGTTCACTATATCAAAGTAAGCTTAAATAGGATGTTTTCTTTTGAATAAATTTCAAATTTGTATTTGAAAAATTATAATTTGTTTTTAAAAATATATTTGCTACAAAGTACTGTTGCCTTTTTTTCCTCTCTTGGATTCATAATTTTTCTATTGTAAAATATGATCATGGATGTTTTTTAAGCCTTTAAAGAGGTTCTGATCATCAAAATATTTATTGACTGGTGTTCCAACTATCAAAACAAAGACATTACAGCTGGAATATTGAATTGCATCAGTGTATTTGCAGCAGTATAAATAAGTTATAATTATTCTTAAAGAATTTGCTCTGAGATATGCAAATATTTCAAACCAGAAGTTTGTAAAATAACTAGTAATTTTCATTTATTGAAATATTACATTAGCAAGGAATTCAGTTAAATACATCAGTGAGTTACATTTGTTAAGAAAATGTGTCTGTATATCTCTTGATACTGAGTCAACAGCAGAAATTTTTTTGAAAGTAGATGAGATCATTTTAAAAATGGACTTGACATGCAAATGATGCTTTCTTTAATTGATTTTGATTAAGATTAAAATATGAAGTATTTCTGCTATAACAATGAAAATATTTTTAATGGTTGCTTAAGCACTATAATGTTTTTTATGCTTTTATTTGAAGAATTTTAGGGGAAATTTACATTACTTAAAATTTTATTTGTATGATTGTATAAACTAATAATTTAGAAGTGAAAATATCATGTGATGTGAAAAGTAGCATCGTAACCTGCTTGTTCTGCTTTTATTTGAACAATTTCTTGGGAAATGTATACTACTTAACATTTGTACAACTATATGAAATTATTATTTTAGGGATGAAAAAATATGGCAATTCTTTATTTTGCAATATATGCTATGAAATCTCCCTAAAACAGTCACTTAAGATTATAGACAATTTGGATCTTTTGTGAAATTGATCACTTTAAAAAACAAGATGATTATTGATATCAGTATCTTATTTAATTATGTTCTAATATTAGTCACTTTTTGATAAGAGGTTTTACTGCATATATGGTTATGAAGTAAAATTTTTAAGTACAAGAATTAGATCAAAATTATAAATGCATTGTTTATTCAAACAATTTTTCCACTGTAAACAACTCACAGAAGCCTGTGCAGAATGTGTAATTCAAAAATATCTGTAAAGATGGATATTTATGTTTATAAATAAATCAAATCTATTTTATTCAGTGAATGATTTTTTTTTTCTCCCATCTCCTACTGTTCAAGAAAGTACACATACCTCAAAATATTTCAACAAAATTATTTCAAGACTAGGTTTTTATCAGTTATAGGAACCATGGGTTTGCAACTACTTTTTGGAGTTGTCACCAGCAGAAACATTGGCAGTTTTTATCCAGTATTATAAATTCACTATAAACACAGTGATAAAAATTTAAATTATAATAGTTTAATCAACTAAAAATATTGTGTTATATTAAAATTTTTGGTGGCCATCACTGAGCTACTGCTGATAATTTTTTTTTTTTAATTTATCACTACTGGCAACTTTCTGTTAACCCCTTAGCTGCTGCGGGCGTATATATACGCTTTGCTCAGCCAATGTGTTAACTTCCACAGGTGTATATATACGCCCTTCCAAACTACTATCATTTGCTTTGCGCTGCTACCCATAAAATTATTCCCAAAGCTTTGGAATGCAACACCACATTGACCTTGACAAAAGTATGCGAAGGAGGATACTTTTTCAGAGAAGTGGGGGGAAGAAATTGGAGAGAGGGGTGTGTCTAAAGCATTGAAATTAATGACTGCGCAGTATTGGTTGGTGTTGTTTGAGTAAAATGTATTTTTTTTATTCTGTGTCCTCCGTTTTCATTTACTTTTTGTAGTAGGTTCCAGGAATAAAGAAAGATATAACGTATGTTTCAAACCCATTTATCTTTTTTTAATTATTTTTTGATGAACTGCTTGTGCTTCATATTGTTACTGAAACTAACTGCTTTGTAGATGAGTATATGAACCAACACATTGCAAATGAAAAATCAAGAACAAAATTGTGGCATTCAACCAGCTCAGAAGAAATATATGATTTTTTAGGCATACTGATTTCACAAGGTATAACACTGAAATCTGATATTACACTTTACTAGTTTAAAAATGAATTGAACGAAACTCCATTTTAGGGATCTTTTTTTATTATACTTTTACTCAAAACATTAAATTTTGTGCATTCATTTTTTTCTTTTATTTTGTGAAAGTAAACTTTTTAGAAAGTAAAAATTGCATTTATTTCTCCCCTAATACATTGCATAACTATGCGTGCCTGTGTGAAAAACAGTGGCACTGGGAAGTGAATCTTGTACGTTTTCTGCGGCAGTTAAGGGGTTAAAAGAAGCTTATAGTGTCTTGGTTTCTCGACAAATTCCAGATCTTCATCATTGCAGCAAAATGATAAAAGAACCTAGCTGACAGTATATCATGAATAAAATGGCACTAAGTTCAAATTAATTGCAGTAAACATATTATCAGTATTGCAAAACAGCACCTATTTACAATATTAGCAATTACTAAAGCCAGAATTTGGCTTCAATTTAATGGTCTCTAACCAATAAGTACTCAATAATTTGCTTAATTTGATGATTTTACCTGACTGTGTATTGAAGACTAATATTTAAAACCCAATCAGTAGTTTTTTATCATAAACAAATGGAAATATATTTTGACATTTATTGCAATAATTTCAAAATTCTATGAGATCTACAGTATATCTATTTGATTTACAATTTTACATGAATTTGTGTGCTTTAAAAAATAAAAAATTTAGATAATTTTTTGGCATATGAAAATATATATAAATAAAATTAACTTAAAAGAGCTGTATATATTTAAATATAAAGACTGATATTAATTATGTTGTTTTATTAAAACCAAAACTTTATAAAATCATTTTAAAAAGAAGCATTAAGGTGTTTTTTTTTTTTTTTTAATCTGAGGAAAACAGAGTTGTGAATTTTACATAATTTGATTAGTATAGTGGCTAATGGAAGCTCCCATACCCAAAAGACCATAAAACTGGACAATAATGAATGTATAATGTACTTATTGGGTTGGGTACTTAAAACCCATTACTCTAATTGTTGGTTGGACAAGAGGAGTATGAAACTTTTACATTTCATTTCCAGGATATTTTTTATCAGAATTAGGATGGAACTGCTATACTGTCACCTCTGCTGAAGACATTTTATGATAGTACAACTTTGACAACAGGTGCAAATGCAACATGCATGATTATTCATGAGACATTTTAAGAATAACAAGTATATTTTGCGTACATTTTTTAGATAATTTTCTAATATGGCACATGGTTAAATATTAAAAGAAAACTAGAAAATGCATAGAAGTGAAAACATCAGAAAATAAAGATTTGAGATCTTACTATGGTGCTGATCTAATGATCAATATCTGAAATCTTTATGGTAGTTAACATATTAAAAGCCACAGCTCAAACTAATATCAAAAGAAATACTAAAAATATGGCTGATAAAATTTCATGATATTGAATTAGAGTTTACAGCATGTATAGATTTGAAAGTTTTTCAGTAGTTTAATAGACTTTTGTTAAAACTGCTTTTCATTGAAAAAGGATATCCATAAGATTTGTTATTACTGAGTGAAATTAGATTTTCTATTTTTTGAGAGTATACATTTTAATTCAAAGGACTATAAAGTTTCTCTATTGTGTTTTCATTTAAAAGTTTATCAGAAATCAACATGATAATACCTTTTTCACAACACTTTGTACAAGAATGGTTTTATGTAAATTCCTTAAATTTAAGGGGAATTAGAATATTACGTGAGAAGTAAGACAAATTACTCATAACGACTAATACTGTTATTCTTGTTTTACAGCAGTACATTAAAAGTTGCTGAAAAATTCAGCTCGTATTTATATTATATACAGAAATGCATCAAAATATTTATCATATAACGAACCAACTGACTATAAAGCTTGTATTTTGTGACTTCAACTAATTATTCTGGTTAGCCCAATACTTAATAGTAATATTTGTTTATAAAAGAGCAGATGAGGCATTAGAATATGCAAAATCTTCAGCAATCTATAATGCATTAAAAATTGTTTCCATTGCAATATATGATTACTGAATTTAGAAAATTATATTGTAATATAGATTGCAGTATTATTAAAACTTATTAAAGAAGAACATTCAGAGAGCAATAACCACTCAAATACATAATTTATTTGAAACATAAGTTACATTTAAAAAACTATTTACACCGTATTTTTCAAATTAAGTATTTAATTTCCTTCATTCAATTTCTCCCAAGTAAATTTGCTTGTCGCTTGAACATGACATAACTAGAAGGAAAGGGAAAAAAAAAAAAAAAAAAAAAAAAAAAAAAAAAAAAAAAAAAAAAAAAAAAAAAAAAAAAAAAAAAAACAAAAAAAAAAAAAAAAAAAAAAAATGTGAACTGTGGTCAGCTTTATATATATATATATACACACACACACACCTATGTGCAAAATTAGCAAAATCTGAAAATTATGTTTATTATGAAAAGTATTGAGCCAAAGGTATTAATTATGCCTCCGAAGAATAATAAAAATAGAGTCAAATATGTAAGTGTCCAGATGCCTCCCGAGCTGTGATTGTGCTTGGGGATCTAACCGCACAAGGGTTTTAGCCGATTTGTGAGCTCATACTCCTTCACAGTGTTTTTTGCAAGAATCGGGTACATTTAAAAGGCATCGGGTGAATGTCCATGAATGTATGAATGATGGAATGAGCTAAAGAATTGTCCACAGATTACAGGCAGACTAATCACAAGCGAAAGTGGCTACACAGCTCAATGTAAGGCCCAGTGTCATCTGAAATTTGAGAAAACAGTTACAGAATACTGGATCCATAAGAAAAAGACAAGGTCAGCCAAGATCCACAATAACGAATAAGGATTGTTATTTGACATTTTCAAGACTGCTACAGCTCTTACGTGAGCTGCATTCTGCTAAGTTTCACAGTCTACATTTGCAGGGCATGCCAGAAGCTCCACTGTTTGTGTTCCACTCACTGCAGCACACAAAGCATCGTGCAAACTGCACCTTGGACCAGACTTCAGTGCAGCACCATGTATTTACAGATTCGGCATGGACACTGATTCTTGTATATGGAGAGAACTTGGAACACAGTACCATTCCTACCTCATCAAGGCAAAAGGATCATTACAATGGTAGAGGTGTAATGGTTTGGGCAGGCAATATGTTGGATCGCCGCACATCTTTGCAAGTATTTGACAAATCTGCTACGAGGATCTGATTGCCTATCTTATGTACCTTGACTGCTGTGAGGGCACAGTTGGTCCTGGATTCCTGCACTATGAGCTTTACTGAGAATCATGCATACATAAAATGGCTTTTGGATTGTATATATGTCTCACTGTTATTAATGTATATTCCTACCAAATTTCATTAAAATCTGTTCATCAGTATTTTCAGAAATTTGATATAGTGAGCATTCTCCTAATTTTGCACACAAATGTATATATAAACACAGAGACATTTATATTTGATTTAAAAGTTGTATAATTTTTTACACCAATAAATACATTTACAGATTTCACCATAGGCAAAGACGAGAAATATTTTTAGGAATGGCTTTAAAGTAAACCAGAAAACAACTGCTATTAATTTAAGCATTCAAGATTCAAAAAGTAATCTACCTGGATTATACCAAATTATAGCACTCAGGCATGATTGTTTAAATCCAAAAAAGTAGCAAAACTGCTGATATTGGTGCTTCATCTCTGCTTGGCAGTACCATTCCTACCTCATCAAAGCAAAAGGATCATTACAGTGCTAGAGGTGTAATGGTTTTAGGCAGGCATTATGTTGGATCGCTGCACATCTTTGCAAGTATTTGACAAATCTGCTACGAGGATCTGATTGCCTTTCTTATGTACCTTGACTGCTGTGAGGGCACAGTTGGTCCTGGATTTCTGCACTATGAGCTTTACTGAGAATCGTGCATACGTAAAATGGCTTTTGGATTGTATATATGTCTCACTGTTATTAATGTATATTCATACCAAATTTCATTAAAATTTGTTCATCAGTTTTTTCAGAAATTTGATATAATGAGCATTCTCCTAATTTTGCACACAAATGTATATATAAACACAGAGACATTTATATTTGATTTAAAAGTTGTATAATTTTTTACACCAATAAATACATTTACAGATTTCCACCACTAGGCAAAAGAAAGAGAATATTTTTAGGAAATGCTTTAAAGTAAACCAGAAAACAACTGCTATTTATTTAAGCATTCAAGATTCAAAAATATACCTGGATTATACCAAATTATAGCACTCAGGCATGATAGTTTAAATCCAAAAAAGTAGCAAAACTGCTGATATTGGTGCTTCATTTGTTGTGCTTTGAAAAAAGTTGAGATTTATCTTTTTGCTGTTGCTAGTGTGGAGGTCTTGAAATAACAGTATACTATATTTATTCATGTATTCTCCCTTTTCCCTTCTTGAAATAAGAGAAGGATATGTGAGTAAATAACATATATATTATATATAAATAACCCATGAGAAAATTACACCACATATATCATTTCTGAATGGATCATAGCATATTAAAAACATATCTGAATGGATATACCATTGTTAGACTCTGTATTTCAAAAAAGTTGGTTAAAATTATTATTTTTCATATTTTTTTACTTGCACAATACACATGTTTATGGATACATTTTGCATTGTTACATAAACCATATGTTGAAAATGATAGGGGGAAATTTGCAAGAACAATTCAACCGCCTCATCCACAACCATAATAGTGCAAACACGCATGCGCCATTCGGACCAAATTATTCTCAAAATAGGGTGAAAGGATGACAGACATTCTTTCCCTCTAGCATATAAATTCTCTCTTTCCAGAGAAGAGAAGACTTACATGCAACCTTTCATCTTGCAGCAAGTAACAAGGCCCCTTTTAGACGAGTCTTTGTATTCTGGCAGAATGCCAGCCAGGGTTGCATTTGAGGTGGTCAAACTATAAATACAATAATTTAATCCTTCATGTGGCGAAATTCCTAAACTTACTCAAAAAGTTATGAGTAAATGCTAATTTTTTTACTGTAATTCGAAAATGACTGTCTCATTTTGTTCCTTGACTTCTTTTCTTCCAATATATACTACTTTATTTATCTGGACACATTTCAAAATGTATGTCTGCATGCTTAAAACTATCATGACAAATATTATTGAACATATGTATACAGATTGGCTGCTTGAAGGGCTAACTGTTACATTTACACATGTTTCTATCACACAATTCTTTGCATACACTCAAAAAAACTGGAAAACTATCTTTAATCTTTGCAGCTTTTTCTAGCCCTTGTGGTGTAACAGTAGTACACTCGGCATGCTTTTCAGAGGTCCATGTTCTAGTCCAGCAAGAGTTTTGCTCATTTTTCACTCCTTTCACTTAAAAAAAAAAAAAAAAATGCCTCTGCAGTGATGCCCGAACTAAAAGGTGGTGGATAATAATTCATCACCACCAGGATTTCGATTGGGTCCCCTATTCCTTATTGCCCTTTAAAAGAGGGAGTATACTAAGGTATTTTCTCCCTCCTTCTGGCATGTCTTCATGGTCTAACCATAGCACACTCAGCACATGTTCAAGAGGACCAGGTTCGAGTCCAGTGAGGTCATTGCTCATTTTTCACTTCCGCTTCAAAAACAAACAAAAACAAACAAACAAAATAAAAAAAAAAAAAAAAAAACCCTAATGTCTCTACAGTGACACCCAAACTAAAAGGTGGTGGACAATAATTCATCACCATCAGGATTTGGAGATTGTGTCCCCTTATTCCTAGTTACCCTTTAATAGTGGGAGGTACCTTTAAGGTATTTTCTCCCTTATTCCAGAATGCCTTCGTGGTGTAACTGTAGCACACTCGGTGTATATTCGAGTGGTCCAGGTTTGAGTGCCAGAGAGGGCATTGCACATTTTTCAGCAGCCTGATACTGACAATCCTAATGACTCTACAAGCAGTCATCTCAAACAGCAAATGCTGAACTTTGCAAAAGGAAGAAAGCTCTTTATCAGTTAACAGAAACTTGTAGTCTAGTCAATTACTTAGCAGACGTTTTCAAGCTCATAACCATGTCAACAACTGCTGCAGAAAAAAGGCTGAATCTCCTAATTTACTAAAATACCTTATGCTTACATATTTGGGGGGGGGTCCAACCCAGGTAACCAATCTTCACAGTATGTCCCAAGTTGGAAGTAAATTTCCTTCTAAGAACCACCAGGATTCTTCTTAGTTTTTGTGAACAACCTCCTGAATTTTTCTGCAGTCATCTTAAATCATTCAAGGAGAGCACTTTGTATATGAGCATAATTCTGAATTTTTTTCCTAATTCCCTAACAGCCAGCTTAGATACCTCTGATGAAAATAAAGTTTCAAGGAAAAGAGTTTCTCATAAGCTTTCTTTGACCTTCAAAAGTTTCATTTATCTCATGAACAGAACTAAAAATATATTGACATCATCTTCTTCAGGCTTAAAACTTCGCAAAATCTTCTGGCAGACAAGTTTAAGTACAAGGCTTTGGACAGGAATAGGCTCTTGCTCCTTTTGAATTTGCAGAGTCAAGCGTAACTAGTTCATATTCCTGCTTTTTCTGTTCTTCTACCTCCTTATCTCATCTGTGCTCATCTTCAATAACGACTTCACATAATGGTCTCATGATAATTTTTCACATAGTATTCATTTCTCTTAAATTCATTCAAGTTAACTATTAACTCTTTTAACTAAAACATTTTTACTTTACTGTTCAAGTTTTGAGGCTAGCATTATCAGGTCTGCATTTCTGGCTTTCCCAAGAAATGACATATTGTAATGCTTTATGAAATTGTCTCAGCTAACTCGTACTTTTCTATTGGGCACCATATGTAACAGATATATAAAACAAGAACATTTATTTAACCATTGTCATATAACAATCCATCACAATCCAATATCCAAATACCAAACTGGCTCCTTAAATTTTAAGGAAAAAAAAAACATCATTTCACTGCTGCTACTAAATCACAAAAACAGTAAAAGCACACTTCTTTTGTGACTTGTTACATTTAAACTAAAAATTTCATTTTATATATGGAAGTAATCTTCCGGTTGCTTTTTAAGTTTACAGTTTCTCTGATATTGAAAAGAAATCATATCATATAATAATCATAATAATATATGTTTATCGTCGACCAGCCGGTATAGTGGTTAGTGTCATCGACTGTCGTGCCGAAGGACCCAGGTTCGAATCCCAGAGAAGGCATTGATGTTTGTAAATGTATAGTGTCGGTGCAGCATAGCGGCACTCTAAATATGCGGTGAGCCAAAAGTCCTCTCTTGTGGTTTGGTGGAAGGAGAGAGGGGTGGGAAACTCTCGGACCTGTCCTCCCCCCACGTGCTCTCCTTCAAAATTGGGGGCGGAACTGAGCTAATTGCACTGTCGCCTGAATGGTGCTCAAGGCTGTTGCCAACGGCAGATGTACTCTAGCACTTCTTACCACAAAGAATTTTGTGGGCTTGGGCTGACTACATCAGACAAGTGAGCATAAGCAACAACAACATATATCTTTATCAGTTTTCCTTAGGTTTGCTTTGTTTTTATAAACAAAAAAAAGCCCAAACTGCAAAGAAATTTTAAAATGGAATAAACTGAAGATCTTATAGTAAAAATCTGATCTTATTTGAACTTTCCAAGTCTATAAAAATGATTATGTTCTACACTTAAAATTCCTTTCATACAAGTTTCAGTTATCACTTGCAGAATTAAATAATTAAAACAAAATAAAAATATAATAAAAAATAATTACCATATATTCCTGCATATAATGCACACCTATAATTCTAAATTACATTTTTTAGTTTTCAGGTATATTCACTGTATAATAAGCACCCTTTCCTTTACAAACAAACTACAATGCTCTTATCTTTTGAAGTCATTCATTCAAAGAATTTTCACAGGCTTTTGAACAATGGCATACAGAGAAAGTGATATGGGAAACAACATGTGTGTGGGGGAAATGATTGAGGGATAAATAATTCTGCAAAGAGGGTGCATTGTATTCAATGAAGCTGTGCACAAGAATATTATTCTAGTGTTTCAAGAAAAGGGAGACATTATTTGAAGTAATAATGCACTTAAGATTGGAATGAATTAGCAATTGGATATTTTCTCTTTCTGTACACTTAAAACTGTTTATTTTAAGAGACCATCGAAGGCAAGAATTGAAAAGGAGGCAAAATGCAACATGCCAGACTAGAAATACTGTGAAAGTAGATAATAAAAGCATGGAATGAAATTAAACCCGATATAATTCAAAAGTTATTAAAAAATGTAGTATATCTAGCAATCTAGATGGAACGGAAGATGATTATTTATGTATGAATCAGAGTAACAGTATTGGTGAAGATGGAAACAGAATATTATGATGTGCCTGAAAATATAATGGAAGACAAATATACAGTCAAAAGTCGTTAATTCGGACACCCATAATTCGGAATGATCTATAATCCGGACCTCAAAACTAAAAACTTTCTGCGCATGCGCCGTGTTGACACATGCGCATAGGCATTTGCGCGTGCGCGTAAGACCTTTTACGACTGCGCATATGAGTGCGCGCAAGTGCAGAATACGTTTTCGCGTGCGCGTTTTATGTATAATGGACGTATAAGCTAAAATTATCTAATTATCTATTTCAGTTAATGTTGATGATTGCGTTGTTCCTTAATTTTCGAATTGGATCCGGCTTATTTTTTGCAGGGACTGTAAGAGCAATTTTATAAAAGTAAGCTTAAACTTTCGATTATATCAAATAGAATTTCCGATGTATATTTGTTAATATGTAAAGGATCTAAAGCGAAAGTATGTTTTGAAATCCGAAATCTGTTTATCAATTTCACGCTGCTCGGCGGGGGGAACGCCGCGACGTAATGAATTGGAAGTTGATCTGTCAACACTATCCTTATCTTCAGCGCAGATGTTTTTATTTTATTTGGCTTATTTACTTAATTTCAATTACAATACGCTTAATTATTACACTTAATACACTTAATTTCTTTACCAAATGTAGTATTTCATCTCGATATGCTCCGTTTTTGATATGATTTAAAACAAGTTCCTCGTCATTATAATTCGCTTCCGATAGCGAAGAAAAGTGACAGAGATTATTGAAAACGAAAAAATTTCGATTGAAAAAAAATTAGTCGGTGTTTCGACACAGCCATTATAGGACTTGAACAGCGGAACTCTGAACTGAACAAGAAATTATGTCTGTTTAATAGAATTAAAGAGAAAGTATTATCACATGAAACGAAGCAAAAACTTAAACAACTTACATTGAAAGAAATGTTTAATAAAGTAAACAAATAAATATAAGCTTTTCTTTTGCAAAATTTGATACCTTTAGATCATAATTGTTCTTTATTTCATAAATTACGGTTTCAAATTTTTAATTTTAGAATTTCAGCATGCCATCTTACGAGATTTAAACTGATGATCTATAATCCGGAAAAATCGATAATCCGGAATCGCCGAAGTCCCGGCGAGTCCGGATTAACGACTTTTGACTGTATAAACTTTTTATGTTATCAGGTAAGGAAATTTTTTAAGTCCATAAGGAATATCATTTCTTTTAAACAAACAGCCTTTAGGTATATGGAGAAATATAACTTTTATATACTAATTTTTTCCTTATTTTTAAATCTATTTTGTTTATAATGTATAACACACACCCGTAAAGTTCGATCTTGTATTTTGTATTAAAAGCATGCACTAAATGTTGGAATATATGCTAATTAAAACTAATGAAAAATAAACACTGTATTCTCTCATGTACAAACTGCACTTTTTTTTTTTTTTTTTTTTTAACAAAACAGAATATCAAAATTGAGAATGCAGCTTATACACATGAATGATCAGAAATAGGTACACACATATAAAATTTGTGGATGGAATGCAGTGAGATACTGGTAGTGCAGGTAACTTAACTCTAGAGGTACTGATTGTGACAATAAATAATAAGTGCTAAATACTCAAACACGTTCCTTTTGACTGGTAATAAAAATTCTGTCTCAGTGTGTTGAAGCTACTGTTTTATTTCAGCTGCTTTCACACCTCCAACTTTCTTAGCTTATTCCTGAGAATTTTTTTTTTTTTTTTTTTTTTTTTTTTTTTTTAAATAAGAGGTAAAAATTAAAGATGTGGCTTTAACAAGCATGTTGCATATACAGTCAAAAGTCGTTAATTCGGACACTCATAATCCGGAATGATCTATAATCCAGACCTCAAAGCTACAAACTTTCTGCGCATGCGTCACTTTGACGCATGCGCGTAAGACCTTTACGGCTGCGAATACACTTGTGCGCATGCGCAAAATACGTTTACGAATGCGCATTTAATGTATAACGGACGGTATAAGCTAAGCTAAAATTATCTAATTCAGTTAATGTTGCAGATTGCATTGTTCCTTGATCTTCGAATTGGATCCAGTTTATTATTTTTTGCAGACTGTTAGAGCAATTTTATAAAAGTAAGCTTGAACTTGCGATTATGTCAAATAGAATTTACGATATATATTTACTGATATGTAAAGGATCTAAAAGCGAAAGTATGTTTCGAAGTCCATTAAACAAAAAGTGGAATTGCTGCAAAAAATGGATAAAGGCATATCCTTCGTTTCTCTAACCATTCCAAAATCTGTTTATCAATTTCATGCTGCGGCGCGCAATGAATTGGAAGAGATCTGTCAGCACTATCCTTATCTTCAGGGCAGACGTTTTTATTTTATTTGGCTTATAATTCCTTATTAAATGTAGTATTTCATCTCGATGCACTCCGTCTTTGATATGATTTAAGTCGCGGTCATTATAATTCGCTTTCGATAGTGGAGAAAGTGACACAGAGGTTATTGAAAACGAAAAAATTTCGATTGACAAAATTAGTCGGTATTCTCGACACAGCAATTATAGGACTTGAACAGCGGAACTTTGTAACTAAAGAAGAAATTATGTCTGTTTATAGAATTAAAGAGAATGTATTATCACATAAAACGAAGCAACTTAAACAACTTACATTGAAAGAAATGTTTAATAAAGTAAACAAATAAATATTAAGCTTTTTTTGTGTAAATTTTGATACCCCTTAGATCATAATTATTCTTTATTTCATAAATTATAGTTTCATATTTTTAATTTTATAATTTCTGCATGCCATCTTACCAGATTTAAACTGATGATCTATAATCCGGAAAAATCGATAATCCGGAATCGCCGAAGTCTCGACGAGTCCGGATTAATGACTTTTGACTGTATACAAGAATACAGTTAATGTTTTTCTCCATACTTTGTCTTTTAATTCCAGCTTAATTTTTATACTTCCGGTATTTTAATCAAACATTTTTACTTTTAAAATTAATAACTAAGAAAAACTTACTTATAGGCTCCTTAGGGTGGAAATTTACTTCATTTACAGATCCATTATGACCTGGGAGTTTGTACAGGATTCTTCTGGAAGCAGTATCCCAAACATAAACAAATCGATCGGCTGAACCAGCTGTGATTTTGCTACCATCAGGGGACCAACTACATTTCAGAAGATTCTATCCATATAAATATTTGGATTCATTAATATAATCTCAAATATATGTTGCACAAATTTTAACATTTTCAGTATTTCACACAACTAGAGATTTTAAAATACATACCTTTTCAAAATTATGTTGATGACCAGTAAAAACCTTCACACACCTTTCTTGTGGTGCAAATGGTCTGATGTCCCAAATTCTTACTAAAACATAAAAATTTGCCTTTATAACCGTTATCAGTAAGATAATTAAAGTTATTAAAATATTAAGACTGAAATGACTATAGAACAAATTATAGATCAAATTTACAAAATATGCTTTGTTACAGGAAAAAAGCAATACAATATAAAAATAATAAATGATTATACTTTTTATATGTGGAAAATAACCTATTGTCAAATTCTGAAATGAATGTAATTACCATATGCTTAACATTTCCACTTTTTATAAGTGGGATGATATTCTAAGGCATGTGTTGAAGTAAATTCCTATCATTAGGGTATTTATGGAAGTAAGAAGGAAAATAATTGCCAGCAGTTCAATAATTCCCATACTGTGAAACTTAACAGAATTTTCATCCTTTTAATAATTACTAAATCTTAAGACTAAGGTTTTGACAGTATATGCTATAAAATTGTTAAACCAAGCTGCAACATTATACAGATTTCAAATAAATAAAAATATCACTTTTATCATTCTGAAAGCACTAATATTTTAAAGACTGTAGGATCAAAGATCTGTAATGAAACACAAATAATTTATCATAACGGTACAACTTTGATTTAAATAAAAAATAATAAAAAATATGTTAATACATTTAAATCTAATATTATTCTAATAAGATGTAGCATTGAAAAGCATAGTTTCTTACATAAATTATCTGCAGCATTTGAAAGGATATATGAACCATCAGGGCTTAAAGATAATCCTGTAATAGTTTCAGCATGACCAATCATTTTGTAAAGAACACCTGTCTTTCGCATATCCCACACCTAAAAAGTAAAAACTTATTTTAAAGACATTTGCTACTATACAGTGATGAGATTTAAGTAATTTATGAAATGGTTTGCTGCACTAGTGATCATCTCAAGTACAGAAAACAATATTTATTTATATGTTAATGGGCAAAGCTTTACAGAATTTCTCACACTAATGTATTACATGTATTGAAAATTTACAGAATAATTACAATAAACAATACAAATTAAAAGATTAATGAAAATAAAATAACATGCAGGAAAAAACAACTGGTACTTATGAAAAATCCAGTTAATCACAAAACTTGGCAAAAGTTCACCAAATCTCACGGCTGTCAATCATTTCAGTGGCATAAAATATGCAACTGCACTCAAAATAGAAATAAATGTCTTTTCCTTTGTGAAGATAATGCCACATGAAACCAGCCATATAAGAATCTAAGTGGTGTTGTGCTGTCCCATGACAGGTGTTCTTTTATACCATCATCTGGCCAAATCCCACAATCGCTCAGTGTTTTGTGTATGTGCTCTGGTGTTTGGATCTACAAAGTTATAACTATAATTAACTTTAAAATGTTAAAAATTAGCAGCTCTAATTTTATTGCTTTTATAAGCATTCTACGACTCCAAGTACACTGCAGAACCTTCTTCAATGCTATTTTTATCGTTTGCATAAATAAGCATTATCACCTTCCTATTTGGAGCTTTGACCATAAAACACTTGTTTGTTTCCTTGTAAATGCCTTCAAACAATCATTGTTCGGGGTTATTTTCCCTGCACGGTTTTTACATTTTGAAAAAAGGCTCTCATCAGTTTAGGCAATAAGGTGGATCTCTCGAATTTCATTCCCTCCCCCCCCCTGAAGTTAAAGGACTTTGTGTATAGAAACTTCTCTTAAATAATTGTTTCAATCAATAACAGTCTTGCCACTGAACTTTTAAATTCTTCTTTTCACCATTCAATACTAGTTAATTCCTTATGCCACCTGTAAATGAATCTTAGTGAAGTCAAAAATGAAATGGTTGAATCATTGAACCATGTTTCTTTCCAAATGGATATTCAGTTCTGACAAGTCTTAATATTACAACTCTATTGAATCTGTGTCTTTAAATAGAGTGACATATCATGGCCATTAACACATTTTTTGGATGATGGTAAGATTCCATACTTTTGAATGTATTCTACTGCTTCTTGTTCTGTAGCTGGTAAATCCAAAATTTTAAACATTTACAACATAGAGCTATAAAAAATTTAAAACAGTAACAGCTTTACTGCAAGAGCTAGAAAGAAAATCAGCATTAAGATCATCACATTGAATTATGTATGGTAAGTTTTATCATTATTGGCTAAAACTGAATCACATGTGCCAGGTTTTTATCATTACTGACTAAAAACCACCTCTTGGTGCCACTGTCTTCATTTGACGAAAATGGCTGAGTGAATTTTTCGTAAGTACCGAATAATTATACAATCACTACATTCTTGCTTCTAATCCACTAATCAGGAAAATTAATCAATAAGTGAATGCTCAAAGTATGATTATATTATTGCATTGTTGCCCAAAAGTAAATAATTACGCACTGGTGCTGCAATGCTCCCAATTCCCTATTGTTTGTTTTGATACCTAATTTGGCAACAGCAGGAAAGCTTGGAAATTTCAGTTTGAATTGGGTATGTGATCTTGTAGAAGAAAATGCTGGATGCTTGCTTTAGACAATTATGTTCAACATTTTGATAATTTTCATTAGATTTGTATATTGTGTGGTCTATAGTGATGTGTACTGATTTATCTGAATATATGTGTATCTGCATAATTAAAAAAAAGTTTATGTCCAGTATGTCTTCTGAAATCTTTCTGAATTATAATTTGAAAAGTATACTGAACAAAAATTATTTAGATAATGTTTTCAAAACCTAGCAAATTAAATTTGCAATACCTGCAGCTTCCATATAGTATCTCTTTCATTCTGCTGCAATCCACACTAAGCTACTACAAATTTGATAGTTTTATGCAAGCACAGACTCCTTTAATAACTTCATAAACCAGCATCATAATTATAATTTTAACAACTGGTTTGACAAATTTAAATTATCTTAAAATGCGATTCTATTGAAGTAACATAATTCCACCACATATGATATGTGTCTTTAAAGTAAACATAAATTTTTAAATTACTTTGCTTTTGAGAGGAGAAAATTATTAAACCTTTATGATATTATCAATGCCTCCTGAAATAATTTGTTCAGCAGTATCATTAAATGTTACAGCTGTGACTTGATAAGTATCCTGGAAGGAATGTACTGCTCCTCGTTTCCGGGCATCCCAAACCTATAGACAATAAAATCTCATCATTAAATAATAAACATAAATAAGTTTTATGATAAACATGACATATTTCATTAAATATCTCAATATTTTAAATAAAAATATGCCCACTGAATTGCACAAATGTTATTAAAAAAAGGAAGCTTTTGCTATTCTAACACAAGTATTCTTTCTATAAAAATTAAAATTACAGCTACACAAATTTGGGGAAGGTAAGAATTGATCTCTTTCTTAAAATATCATTAAGTCTGCTTTACAGATTTAAAAATGATGGAAAATGAACAAAAATCAAGATTTAATTGCAAATTTTATGTATTATTTAATAAAGAAACTGTAAGCTTTTAATTAAAAACCATTCATTAAATGCTTATCTTACAAATCTGTGAAAAAGTTTAATTGTGAAAACTTAGTTACAAAGTGAAATTGAATTCCACCACTGAAATATAATTTTATAAAGCTGATCATTGACAAGATACGCAATACAAATTTTTGTTTAATGTTATACTGCCAAATTAAAGAATACATTTTGGTTTTTAAAGTTATTCTATGAAATTAAAATGCAATATTATTTTCATGTTAAAATTAGGCAGAAATTTATAGCATTGTTTCACCATAAAAATTAAAATTTGCCAATTAATTCTTCTATTCAAAATGTAATTCTATTTATATATTTACTATTATCTAAATAAATAAGGCCAAAAGAGTATTAAAATCAAAAACTACCTTTATAGTACAGTCATCACTAGCACTACATATTAATTGAGGCCCTCTGCGAGCAGGACAACAACTATTAACATATGAAGTATGACTTTTCAGTTTCTTAATACGAACACCAACTTCTGTGTCCCATATACTTAGCGTTTTGTCTGTAGATGCAGAAAATAAATACCTGCAACAGGAAAAAATGTATATATAATTAACAAATAATTCTAAGAAAAGTCATGAAATGAAGAAAACTGTAGAATGAGCAATGAACAATAATCTACTTAGTAATTTTTTCAGTTGGTAAAATAAAAAAACTCATACGATAAAAAGACAAAGAAATATGCATAACTGTTTCTTTTCCTTTTTAAGTTTCCCCCATCTTTATATATTATTATCAATTTTGTATGTAAGTAATTTTAGTAATAAATGCGAATCATAGTATATTTAACATTCACGTAAATGGCTTGGTGAGAAATTATCAAGAAGTCCCCAAACTAGGCAACATTTTGGTCAAATCCCTGTACAACTATAATTAGTCTGATCTCTATATGTAACTGTGCCTTCCAAGAATTTAGAGAACTCGAACATACTGGAGATTTCCCAGCAACCAGGGAAAAACTATATAAGACTGAAGAGTGTATCAGGTCTCAGTTTTTAACCGAGTTTGGAGCACTGAGAGATCTCTGTGAGAGCTTCGCTTTTTAGATGTGCTTTGCATTGTGTTTAATGTTCTTAGTAGTTTGAAGTGGTAGCTACTGATGTGCTCTGTCATACTAAGAGCTGTATAAGTACTTTTGGGAAAAGTTCCAGAATTGTAACATTTTTTCTTGGGGAAAGAATAAAATTTATCCAGCTATCATTGGTTCTGTATATAATCAATTCCTTACAACTATGTGTGTATCTAACAATATATATTTTTTACACTAAACTATGGTTAAGGAGAATGAAGATATAAAATTAGCAAAACAACAATGTTGTATTTGACATAGATTTTAGTCAAACTCTATCAATTTTGAGGGCAAACAAGTACTTCTCTTCATAAGGAGCAAAACAATCAGCAATGAAGGAAAAGCCATGGTCATATTTACACCCAATAGCAAGTAAAGTGAATGAGAAGGAAATGTCAATAAGTTTGTCAGTTACAAAATTGCATAAATTAACCAGAAGTTCAAATTTCATTTTTCACTATCAATGAAATCCATGGTTCGATTCTTAAATTTTCACTTTAATTCTTGGGGAATTTATACTATATCTTATCAGTATGATTTGAGATATATTGGACAAACTAAAAGAGCATTAAAGTTTTGCAGCAAGGAACACTAATCTTGTTTTTGACAAGTCAAAATTAAGAAGTCATAGTTGGAAATTTAATCATAATTTTAACTTTGGACCTGCAAAAATTATCCAAAAGCTTCTTCAGTGGATTTTATAATGTAATATTTTTTAATTCTATTAACTTAATTTTTCAGTTTTCGTTACCATTTCTACCAAAATTTGGTCCTACTTTCTGGCTTGCTTTACTCCTTTTGGGTATGAATATAATCATGACTTTTCCATCACTGTAAATTTCTTTGCTCTTGATAAAGAGAAACCTGTATTTGTTCGCCTTTCGATTGAGACTTAACTAAAATCTACACTCAACTCAAGGTTTTTGTTTTGCTAACTTTATAAGATGTATTATTAAGATATGCTTTCTTCAGCACCTTTTAGATCAGAAATTACACTAGTTTAACTCCTGAAAGACAGCGATGATGGTACTTATTGGTTTTAGAAGCAATCAAAGCACCAATGGGAAAATCATTAAGCAACATATGAAAGAGGAATAGAAAATTCAGGACTTTTAAACAATGAATTTTTACAGAAATGTGTAAACAAAAAAAAAGGGGGGAGGGAGACTTACTTTTACTTCAGAAAACATATTTTCCTAGTTTTTTTTTTTTTTTTTTTTTTTTTTTAATTATTTTATTTTTAGGTGGCCTAAAATCAGCAATAGCAGCTTATTGCTATCAGGAATGTGACTTTTAAAGCACTGAACCAGATACCAATGTGAAGGCATTTCTTTTTTTGACAATTTTTCACACTTCATCTCTAAATGGCCTTTGTAGTGATATATTACTCCATTCTATGCACATCTTCTCAAATTTGAGTAAAAGGTAAAATAGGAACAGTTTCATTTTCGGTTGATTACAAATTGACAACTGCCATAATTTTGACTAATAGTAATAAAACTATTTCACAGTTCTTATTACTTAGTTTTGGGTATCAATTGGTGATAAATGATGTCTATCTTGACAATTAATCAGTAGTCACCCATAAAAATACAAGTAATACAAATACAACTAAAAAGTACCAATGTAAGGAATAAGAAGATAAAATTTGAGTTCTGAAGATAGTGCCAAAAATTTTCCAAATTTGTGTAAGGGACTGACATTATATGCATTCATTTTTTTAATACCACTTCTTTGGTTAAATCTTTTCTTTCACAAATTAGATTATGCTATACTTTTTGTTAGCAAAATAAGAGTTTTTTAACATAAGAAATTTTAAATAAATTAGAAATCCATTTTATTTTAAAAACTTGACACCTTTTTTTTTTCTTCAACACAGTACTATGTTAGCAAGTTTTATAATACTTAGAATCAAATAGTCAATGATTATATGTATTACGAGAATCATGACAAATGAAAATTATAAATGAGAAGGATCATTATTACAAAGAAGAAAAGAATCAAAATCAGATTACTCCCTCCTGTACATGAAGAGTAGTGATTCAATTAATTGTCTATTCACAATGAGTACTGATATGATAATGAATATGTGTAATGCTTTGATATTATCTTGTGTAAAGAACGCTCCTGAACTCTACTAGAAAGACCTATGATGCTCTTGACTAGAGAGAACGTCGTTAGCAAACTCCTCACACTACGAGTACTATCATTCATTTTAACACCTTATTTAAAAACTGTGAATGGCAACGACTTAACTTAATCCTAAAGAGATGAGATCTCGAGATGAGATTTTGTGAGACGCCTGTGAGAGAAGAGTTTTGTGAGAGACTTGTTTGTCGAGTGACGAGTACCATCTTCGTTAACGTCTCTGATCGTCACCAGCTCGGATATCTACTAAAGTTTTCTAATGTATTAATTGTATCTGTGATATGTTGTGTTATTAAAAAGTGATGCATCACCACTATCAGTGTTGATTCTTTCCACTGAAGCATCCACGACGTCACAGACAAAAAGAAAATAAAAAAAAATTGGAGGTTCACCGAGATTTGTGTGACAAGAGACCAGGTATGGTTCTCCACAATATTCATTTCCAGGCCTGAGTGTATAATGTGTTATTTATACTTATTCGGGAAATCAATTCCAAAGCAGAAGTAGAAGCAGCACATCAGTGCATAAGAGTTTTAAACACTCACTGTGTTTGGTTTATAGTATATCTAACAGATTTTCTTTTGTGGTATATTCGGAAACATTTTCCCATTAACACGTAGCACATCAGTGCATTTTATAGCATGCAGTGCATAGAGTTTTTAAAACAATCAAAGTGTTTGCATTATATCTAACGAGATATTTTTTTTAGTTATGATAAGGGGGAAAATCCTTCCCGTAAATAAACAGCACATCAGTGTATTTATGTTTAACATTTCGTTATAAATTGGTGTGATAGAATCTGAACTGTTTTTTTTGTGTAATGTGAAAGCACATCAGTGCAATATTGCAATTTTCATTTCTAAGTCATTAGAAAGAAATTTTATTTAAATTCTTGTGAAAGAAATAAGTTGTTGAAGATATTTAAAAACTTCTTACTTTGGTTTTTTCTCATGAAAGCACACCAGTGCTGTATTTTAATATGATGTGTTTTTTCGGATAAGTAGAATGTTAAATTTTTATCATTTCATGGTATAAAAATTAAAACTTTGTGCAGTAAACAAATGTTCTAATAGTGTTCTGATTTAAACCTGCACCTATCGATTTAACGTAGTATTTGCATTGGCCATGTGGTTGTCAACGGAAGTAGCTGTCATGAAAACAAAAGTTAATTAGAGGTGTTTATATTTATTTATTGGCGCCACTGTGGTTTTTCTCTGTCTGGCTGTACTGGATGAAAAGAATTTGTTATAAATTTTTTATACAGAAGTATTCAGTAAGGTTGTTTATCGTTGTTTTATGTTTTAATGGAAATAGATTCCAAAAGTGATTAATGCTTTTATTAATCTTTTATTTTAATTTGCCTAATTTTGTAAGAAAGAAAGTGTTTTTTAATCTCTGATATATTTTTATGTGTATTACTTGTGAATAACTTTTGTGTTTTATTTGTTTGAGCAATACTTTTGTGAAAATGGCATTTTTGGAAAAGCTAAAAAGGGATCTATTCCTTGTCGCTTCAGAACTTGGGAAATAGCTTTAGAAGATATGAAAGTAATAGATTTAAAACATTTAATAACGAATAGTAAAAATTATGAGGAAGAAATTTGTTAAAATTTGTTAGAAAGTATTATGACTGATAGGATAGAAAGGAAACTTGAGAAGCAAACATGAGCGAAAGAATTACAGTTAGAAATAGGAAGCTAGGGAGAGGGAATTTCAAATACACAGCAAAATAAAGAAATTGAAAGGCAACAGTTAGAACTAGAATGCCTTAAAGCAAAACAGAACACTGAATCTGCTAAACCTGGAGGTGAAGCGGTATTTAATCATAATTTTCAGAAACTTATGCCCAAGTTTTAATTTAAAAACTGATGATATCAGTTTATTCTTAGAACTTTTTGAGAGGCAGGTAAATTCTAAAATTGCCCACGGATCATGGGTGTCATATCTCATTGGTGTCCTTCCGGTTGAGGTAAATAATATAATTGCTAGGGAACCTGAGAACAGGCTAGAGATTACCAACATATTAAGGAATTACTACTTAAAAGATTTAAATTAAGTGCGGAGAAGTTTCGGCAACTTCTTGTAAGACTCAGAAAAATCTGGATTCTATGTGGTACGATTTTTATCACGAAATTAAGACATTTTTAGATGGGTGGCTTAAGGGATTAAAAATCGAACATTTGAGCAACTCAAGGATTAATGTTGTAGATCAGATTAAAAGGCACACGCCTAATGAGTTTAAGGAACATTTTATAGATGAATGGGCCACGATCACTTCACCAAAACAGTTGGTGGGTAAAATAGAGGAATTTGAAGATGCGAAAAAGACGATAGTTGGGAAAACGAAATTGGGTGAAATGAAAACGAAATATCTGGTAGACAAATGGGTGTTTTTCAGTCCATGGTAACGTTTTCAAAAATAGAAAAAAACCCTCAGGTACACAATTTAAAAAAGATGATGATGCACGCATGTTGGGAAAAGTCAGACTCGAATTTTGATAGGAGAAAAAGACTCCAGTGCTATGCTATGAATGTGGATCTTTTGACCATTTAGTCCTCAGTGCCCTAATTTAAAAACTCAAAAGGCAGATTTGTATCGGATAAGCGGGAGATCAGAGAAGAATCTGTTAGACCCTATACATAAATGGACAGTAAATGGTTTTGAAGTACCTATTCTAAGAGATACAGGAGCAACCGGTAGATATTATTTGTCAGAAATATGTAGAAAGAGATAGAACGAAGGGAGAGCACGTGTGGATTCGAAATTTGCTGGATAATCATACGACTTGTTTACCTGTTGATGAAGTGGATATTGAATGCGATTTGGGTACAGTAACCACCAAACCAGCTGTTACAGGAGAAAACTTAGACGAAGGGCGATATATCTTAGGCAACCACACAGCGGCTCTTCTCAGAGAAACTGAGAAAATTGTTCTTCGTGTGTCGGGAATGTTAATGCGGTCGTTGTCGATCTCAAGCACGACAATTAAAGGAAGCGGAAAATTTAAGTGAGACGAATCAAAATTCTGAGCAGAATGAGTTAGAATTGGAAGAGGAGGACGATGCTCATGAGAGGTCTGAAAACAGAGAGATATTACCTCCTGTCGACCTTTGTGTCCCCACAAGTCCTGCGATTCAAATAGACTCAAGTACTTTTATTGATGAACAACAAAAATGTAAAGCGGAAGTGAAACAAGTTATGGGATTAAAAATGGGGTTTTAGTAAAAAAGAAGGTTTGTTTGTCGAGTGATGACGAGTACCATCTTTGTTAACGTCTCTGATCGTGTCACCAGCTCGGATATCTACTAAAGTTTTCTAAATGTATTAATGTTGTATCTGTGATATGTTGTGTTATTAAAAAGTGATGCATCACCACTATCAGTGTTGATTCTGTTCCCACTGAAGCATCCACGACGTCACAGACAAAACGTCACACTTGTCCTACTTTCAGGTATAAAATGCAAATTCAAGAAGCATTATTTTTAAAGCATTATCAGTGATCCATCCTTTTATTTAATTAAAATAACACACACAAGGATTTTAAACATAAGCTTCCATCTCATTTGGATCAAAAATACTCAAATGAATACATTCTGAGATAACGCAGTCCTCTTTCCCTAGGTCCATTTCTCAAGGGAATTTTCAGACTGATGGATTTTAAGCATCCAAAAGGCACTACAATATGCTTTATATAGGATTCATCATCATGCATAAAACATCATTGCAGATTAGCCTCTGCCAGCACTATACTGTCCAGGGCTGTGGAATGAGACTAAAACAAAAAGTTTAAAATAATAATAATAATAAATAAATAAATTCATAAGTAATAAAATAATAACAGTTATCTTATTACACACAATGCATCAAAGAAATTTCTCTTCAGAAATATTTTATTATCAGTGGATTTGATAAATATCAATAATTTAGCACCTTTATTAAAAAATATTTATGTGAAAAGCAAAATAAAGTTTTGAATTAGCAATTGCTAAAATTATAAGTTACACTAAATACATATGAAACCTTCAAATAATACTTGAACAGCCAAAATTGACTTATACATTCAAAAGACTAAAACTGAAGTGGAATCTATCAAAAGAATAAGCTATTTATTATGGAAAAGACTCCATAATAAATAGCTTATTCTTTTGATCAAGCACAAGCTATCTGTCTAAGAAAGATGCATCCCTGGGGGGGGGGCATTCTAAGGAAAATTGACTCATATTCATATTACACATGGAAAAAATATATAGTCAACCCATTCAGTCACAAGGAAACCAAATCCATAACAGGAAACGCATGTTTTATCCACTATGTCACTATACACTGTAACCTCCGATACATCAGTGATTAAAAAGTATCATATATTATCAGATTATCATTTAAGCAAACAAAATATCAAACAGTTATAAAGTAAACAACGTATTTAAATGCATTAAAATTATAAAGTATTGGAAGTCTAATTGTGTTTAAGTAAACTGTATTAATGTTTCATATCTTTTAACTAAACATTTGTATAGCAAGTATGAATAAAAGTGGTATGAAAATTCTACTTGAAGAGCTAAATAAAACTTTTAAAATCTAAAACAAAAAATGAAAACATAACTTTATATAATTACTTCTTACGGCACATTAAATTCTTGTGAAAATAATTTCCAAATTAAAATTAATAAATTTCCACATTTGAAATTTACAGAAAATGTATTTCAAGATCTAAAATCTCAGGTGTCAACAACAAAATTTATAGTTAATAAGAGTACAAAAACTGTAGAAGTTTAAAAGCAAACAGGAAAGTGTAATGCCATGCAAACGGATGTTATTAATCATGGAATATATTTTCCATTGCTTGTTTGTTATGAAGAAGGACAAACATTATGCTGAAGGGATGAGTTAAATCAGTGGCATTACTTGATACTGTGTTTCAATACAAGATACTATGAGACACACAAACAGCTTTAGCAAATATTGGCAACATTTGTATATATTGGTTTTTCATTCAGTGCTGAAGCAAGATATGTATTTTATAAATTATCACTTTAATGACTATCATTAAACAAATAATCTGCCAATAGTTTAAATTGAGAAAGACTGCAGTACCCAGAACTTTTCACTTTTAACATAACCAAATTTTAAAAAATGCTATCTTTTTCATCATAGTAGAATGAATTTTAAATAAATGCATGATTTTCCATCAGACAGTTCTTTATTTGGTTGGATAACTAATAAATACATGTAACTGATATAGCATATAAAAAAGTCTTTGTGTACTTGACACCATATGAATTCGCTTACATACGAATGAATAAGCGCTGTCATGCAATTGTGCAGTGTTTTTTTGCTGAAGTCTCTGAGCATCTTAAACAATTTAAGTATGCATACCAGTATAACCAGTTTTATGATTTTTAAAATATTCCATTGATTACTGTTCAGAAGAAGGCAAAACCCAAATTTTAATAATTTTTCAAAATGTAAGAGAAAAACAGAGGAATAGCAGTTAACTTTATCTTTTCTTACAAAAATCACACTAACTTATAGAAGATCGGGAATCCATACAACCAAAGCAAAGCTATTTTGAATGTATTGTAATTGACAATATTATTAATATTTCTTCATAAAAAAAGAACTCGAAAAAATTAATAGCAGAAACTGTGCTTTATTTATTTACTCGGCCTTTTCTTAGTCTACATTTAAGACCTTTCGTTCATACAAAACTCTAAAATCCAAACATCAGGTTCCAAGCTGTATGGATTGTCTTAATTGAATTTAAATAAGATAAAATAAATTTTTAAATTCAATTAAATGGTTTTTTTAGTGTATATAATGCATACAGCTACTAATTTTCAATAGGAAAAACTGGAAAGTTTTTGTGTTATGCAATAACATGATTTCAAACAGGCAAATCTGATTTAAAGACAAATGCACTGTATTTATTTGTTTGCTTTATGAAACATTTCTTTCAAAGTACGTTCTTTAAGTTGCTTCACTTTTTGTGTTAATACTTTCTCTTTAATTCTATAAATAAGACATAATTTCTTGTTCAGTTATAATGTTCTATTATTCTTCTATATTGCTGTCTAGAAAATACCAACTAAATTGCCAAATGAAATATTTTTGTTCCAACAACCTCTCTTTTCCTTTCTTAACTATCAATAGCGATATTTTCTGGACTTAGAACCATACTACAAATTTTACCGTCCATTAGTTGAGTAATAATTAGAGCACTTCCATCACCATAAAAAACTTGGTATACTTATGAAGTTAAGCCTGCATTATTTTAGTTTAGTTATTTATTATACTTATTTCCCACACATGGTTAAGACTTCTCTCAGTCCAGAATAAATAAATTCCCACATATACTTAAGGCATATTCAGGCCAGGACTACAAATTTTGCAGTCTCTGTAGGGTCTGGATTTTGGACTGTATTTAAAATGAAAACTAAATATTAAATTATGATATTGGATTCATTTCTTTCTCATTTCATTTATTTATTTTTTGTTTTATGCTGATGAAAATCAAAGCATTCATGAAAACATTTGAATTATCAAAATGCTTTCAAACATGATGAAAATAAAATTAATTGTTAATGTGCATATAACCATCTGGATAAAATTAATAATTAATAACAATTGTAAATTTAAAACATCAAACTAAATAAAAATATTTACTTTGTGAATATTATTTAAGTCTTCATTAAACACTATAAATCTGTGTATTATTTTAAAACACTTCAGATCATATAACAATTAATCTGAAAATAATTTTCAAAACTCAGAACTTGCATGATTAAAATTTCATTAAGAGATTACAGCAACAATATTTGCTGTCAAAATTTCCTTTACCTTGCAAAATTTAATTATGAACATTTCATCTCGATTTAGAGTTGAAAAATATGATCTAAATTTTAAAAAATTAAAAACTTGTAAAAAATTACGAAAAACTGGAAATTTTTCTGGAGGGGCTCTCTCTCTCTCTATATATATATATATAAGCAAACATGTACTATAAAATTTAGACTTTTTCCTAGTGGTCTTACCCTCCATCAGTTGAAAATTTTAAATCCAAGACTGCCCCAGTATGGCCAGTTAGTACAGCAAAATTATCACATTCTCCATAGACATTCCAGAAAACTGAAATAAACAATCAAAATTAAAATAATGCCAACTTATGGTTTCTAAAATCGAACTTCTGAAACCCAAACTGAATTTTCTACGGCACCTTCATTGTATTAATTCAACCTCACATAAATGACAGATAACTTTCATTTATTTTTCTTATAGACATTAATTAAGTATACTTACATATGTCACGATCATACCCAGCAGATGCTAAAATTGTGCCATCAGGATGAAAAGTACCACAAAATATTTCTCCTTGATGTCCTGTTAAAAGCATAATAGGAGCCAACAGACTAGATGTTCGTGGTGGTCCCTGCATAAATCAAGAAATTAATCTAATATATTTTTAAACATAAGCATGAAATTACATTATCTTAAAACTTGCATATTGTTAAGATCTAATAAAATATAAATGCCTCAAAATACTGCCTATTTCTTGTGATTTTCCCTTTCTGAATTACTGCAAATTTTTCTTCATGTTCTCTTATTTTTAATGGAATTTTTCCATGTAGAATTGTAATTATATTAATTAATTTTAACTGCAAGTTAAAATTTATATGATTAGTTATAATTTTATATGATTGATTATAACTAAATTTTTATCTCATCCAAAATCTATAAAATATTATATAATTTGAGTATATGCGTGCCATGTTAGCTCTTCTTCCTTTGGACATACCTCTTATTTTAACTACAACTTGGACAAATTTACGAGGCAGCAATACACAGAATAATCCGTGTTTATTATTTCAGAACACATATCTAAATATTGGATATACAGCAATTTTAAATTAGCCCCTAACAGATAAGTACAGCATCATTCATGATATATATAAGCCACGAATACAAACTGATGAATTCAGATTTAGATAAATATGCCTATTTTGTATTTTCTCAAAAGGATTATTTTATGACTCCAACAAATTTTCACAAAACTGTCAAAAAATAATAAATACAAAGAGATCAACCTCATTCGACCTCCGGTAAAATAATTTTCAGAGAAGTACTTTCTTTTTTGATGTTTACATTATCTGAAATAACATAAATATTTGTGCTATTGAATATATTTTTAATATAACATTATGAAAAATAATAAGATTTAATAAAATTTGAATTTGATTGAAAAAAGAATAAGATGTGAATGAGATTTAGTATTTGGAGGAACAAAAAATCTGTGCATAATTGATACATTCTGGCCTTAAAGTGCCATAAATAAAATTATATGCTTCACAAATACGTCTTAAATATATGATGAGCTATTCATGAGCAAAATGATTTATAACTCTATCATAAAATAAAACATGCACATTTTTTAAGACAATGACTAGTATCTCAAGATACTTATTTATTACCTTTGGTAAATGACATGAAAGTCATGATGAGGTGTGAAAACCAAAAATTATATCACCCCTACACTACTTATGCTTATGATGCACCAGAAATCAGCTGGCATTTATCTTATTTATCATACAGTAGCAAATTCATCAGTTTATTAAAAAGAAAAAAGTGGCAAAGTCATTATTTCTTGAAAATACGCATATTACATATAACAATGCGGGTTTTCATCCACAAAGAACCCATTGGCGCTGTTGCAGTTTTACTTGCCATGTTCACCAACGGTTGATCGATGCCGAGGATGATCCGCTTACAGTTATCAAATATTAAAACACATGGAAGTAAGCCGCATAAACGTGGTATTTAGTGCATATAATCAAAATAATTAAAGAATAAGTAACATAAATTCAAGTTAGCAGAAAAAACAATATGTTAATCATATAGAACTGAAAATTCAAAATTAACCGGTTAAAACGTGAAGCGAATTTGTACTGAATTCAAGTTAGCACAAAAAACAATATATAAAGCCTAACAGAAGTAAAATAATCATGCAATAATGACCTTTTTTCTTGGCAGAGTTATCTATTTAATGGGAAAAAATATTGATGTTTACATTTACTGGGTTCTTTGCAGAAGTGCATCCGACAACGCTCAATTTTTTAACACGTAAGAGTTATCAACGATGAAATTTCAAGCCAAGTGATTTTTTTTTAAATACTGTTAAAAAATTAGACGAGAGTAAGAAGAATTGGATTTTTGTCAATTTTCTTTTACTTTTTAAGTGAAAATAGGTCGATGTGTACATGGATAAAGTCGAGTGAGTGCGCAATGCCATTTTTGTGCAATTCTAGGATGCTTTTTTAAGTGAAAATAGGCCGATGTGTACATGGTTACCAAGTATGTGCAATTCTTAAAAACGCGGCAAGTAGTGGGTGATTCTGCACTTTCCCCAATTTTGGGTGTTTATAAGGGTCTGTCAGTACAAATGACGCTATCAAAACACAAATTGGTTGATCTTTACATTATGGTAACTTGGCGATTTTTTGGCGAAAATTTGGCAAACAACTCTCTTACAGCAACCCTCTATTTTTTTTCCCCCGCCGCCATTTTGTCTTCCCGAAGTAAAGACATGTTTCATTTCTTAATCTACTGAAACTTCTTCCAACAATCTACTAGCCGAATTACACTTATGCTAGAAATTTTATCAAACAAAACTGCTTAATCATGACAAATATTCACTGCAAAATTGGGAAAAGTGCACAATACCATACTCTTACGCATTTTTCAAAATAACACATACACATAAACCATGTACACGCCGACTTATTTTTACTTAAAAAAACATCCCAGAATTCCACAAAAATGGCATTGCGCACACTTCACTATATCCATGTACACTGCTTTTCTCATAATTAGAAAAATTTTTACGAAAATACATGACAATTTTCTCAATCTTTAAACCCGGTAAAAAAAGAACATATATGAAATTACCTGATCGCGAAAAAGTATTTAACCCTTTACAAATAGAACATTTCCACATATAAATAAAATAAAATATCCAAAAACTTTTAACCTCTAACTCATCTATTCCATTATAAACGACACCAACGAATTCATACAGCAAACTTTACAAATACTTAGTGTCAAATATTTAAATTATTTCCATGGCACGTTTACTTCAACTTAAACGTATACCAAATTCCTACAACATAAAATCACAAATAACTATCATTTAATTAAAATATCACTAAACCATGTACACGCCGACTTATTTTTATTAAAAAAACATCCCAAAATTGCACAAAAATGGCATTGCGCACACTCTTCACTATATCCAGGTACACTGCTTTTTTCTCATAAATTAGAAAAATTTCACGAAAATACATGAATTTTCTCAATCTTTAAACCCGGTAAAAGAACAAATATGAATTACCTGATCGCGAAAAAGTAATGAACATTTCCACATATAAAATAAATAAAATATCCAAAACTTTTACCTCTAAATCATCTATTACATTATACACGTCACCAACGAATTCATACGGAACCATACAAATACTTATTGTCAGATATTTAAATTATTTCCATGCCGTTTACTTCAACTAAAACGTATACCAATTCCTACAACATAAATTCACAAAATAACTATCATTTAATTAAAATAATTAAATTCAAAAAACACTACTTAAAATATAAATGAGCAATGAGCACATACATTAAATTCAATACATACATAAATACCCTTCCGAATTCACTTTACATAGGGCCATGGGATCCAAAAATTAATCAACACTGTTTCACACAACACACTATGAAGCTAAATACAAAATGCTAAACGCAATAAAAATTTCCAGATTTTTTCCCGATTTCCCCCCCCTTTTCCGATTAAAGAACCGTATTCGTCCATTATATCACATGACATATCCCATGATCTCTCATTTTCCTCACACAAAATATGCGTAAATCGGAATGAGTATGCTCACATTATTCTCAAAGTGCCATGTAGTAACCTTTATCGCCTCCAAAATGTCGCCAAACTACCAGTTACCATATTGTAAAGATCAACCCACAAATTAGTTCAACACATTTTTTGATACACACGAAATAAAATATACCACTTGATGACAGCTTTTGAGGCTATAATTCATACCATACTACGAAAGAAATAATATTTCGGAATACCTATTTAATTACCTGAATTTCCTGAGCACTAGGAACTACATCCGTCCTAGGCTTTTTGAAAGGCACTAAAACTCCATCAGTAGCACTTCTTTTTTCGGCAATCGGCATTTTTTACGATACAGTAATAAGACAAGCTCAGGAACAAAATCTAAATACAAACAAACTTTCAGCTACAGACAGACAGACAAAAATGTGTTCATTTTGCACTTCTTAAATCTTTTCACCCGCTAAACAAAAATTCAAAAAGACTAAATTTTTTAATCCCACTCAACTACTTTAATATAGACATCTTATTTTTCATTTTCTATCTTTGTCATTTTATACTTTCATCCAGCTATCTACGTTCATATAAAAATATAAAGCTATTTTTCTGAAATGCGGAATTGCCGTTCTGTTTGAGTAATACCATCTACAACTCAGCTCTGTTTTTTAAAAAGTTTAAAGTTTTTGTTTTGAAAATAAGTTCAACCGTTTTTGTAAATATACTGCTTCTAAATTTTGTAAATATTTCCAATTAAAGTGTTTTTAATATTAAATCCATAGTTATCTTAGAGTCCTTTAACACCCTCATTTTACATACCTTGATTTTTTTTCGCACTTCTGGCATAAAGACTTAATGAATGCAGAACAAGACGTCTGTTTATTATTATGTTTACCAGATGTTTACCAGTTCGTAATGTTTTTCACATTAGGAGTTTTTATCCGACTAATGTATATTTTACTTCCACAACGACAGGCGAATCTTCTGCAGCTACTGGAAAGTTTAATTTGCTAAATATTTCCCATAATTCTGTTATTATTTCTCAGTCTCGAGATATATATGATAATTTAGCTTTAGAAGATTGGTTGTACAAAAATCAAGATTTTACCTCTAAAGATATGTTTATTCTTCTCTTATGGTACAATTCACCTTCTGTTGTTATTGGAAGACACCAAAATCCATGGGTTGAATGTTCGGTAGATTATTGTAACACATTTGGGATTAAAATAGCTAGAAGACACAGTGGCGGAGGAACTGTTTATCATGATTATGGGAATGTAAACTGTTCTTTTTTAACGCCCAGAAAGAAGTATGATCGAAGAAATAATTTGCAAATCATATGTGATTCTATATTTAAAAAATGGTCAATAAGTTTAATTATATCTGATAGGCATGATATTTTGTACAATAATAAATATAAAGTATCCTTTTATTTTACATTTGTTGGATTAAATCATTTTGCCGAAATATTTTGTGAACTCATGCTCATATTAGTTTTTATGTCTCCTCGTTGGTGAAAGTGCAGAATCGCCCACTGCTTGGCGCGTTTTTAAGAATTGCACATACGCGGTATACATGTACACGTCGAACTATTTTCACTTTAAAAAACTCCCAGAATTGCACAAAAATGGCATTGCACACACTCTTTACTTTATCCATGTACACATCGACCTATTTTCTTTTAAAAAGTTAAAGAAAATTGACAAAAATCCAATTCTTCTTACTCTTGTAAAATGCGCCAGACAAATAAGTGGGCGATTCTGCACTTTAGCCTCCCCGTTTTATAGTTAAATTATTTTATATCAAATAAAATAACATGTTTTCATTACTATACAAATCCGTTTCTAAACTGTATATACAATTTAAAAAGATTCATATATTTCATAATATATGATGCTTTAAAAAATCCGCAATGTATTATTCAGTGTGTAAATTAAGCTTGAGCTTCAAAAGATTTGCTTAACAAAAGTCCTAACTGTACTTCCCAAAATATTTTCTTTTGGTTTATGTGTAATGTACTCTTTGTTGTCATTGTAAGTACCAGAACCCATGGGTTGAATATTCTTTGTATTATTATAAAGTTTAAATTTGAATTTCTAACTAACAGCTATGCTATTTTTATATTGAAGATTTTATTGTGTGTTTTTATTTCTTATACTAATATTGATGTTAATATAAATCTTTTATCAGTGTTAAAAAGTTATCATAATATTTTTAAATAATAAACGATTAATTGCCAACCTATTTGTTAAGATGATTGATGCCTTACCAATGGGGGTTTACTAATATGGGTAACCAATGAATGGTTTACTAGTACAAGAGAGAAATGTTAAATAATTGTATAATAGGTAAGAAATTTATGATTAGCAGATTGGCTAGTAAAAAATTACCATAATTTAATTTCTATCATATCTAGATTAACATTGTGTCTTCAGTTGTATTGTTTTGATTCATCAACTTTTTTTTACTTTTTGTTTTGTTTTATTTCCTAGTTTTTTTAATCTGTAGTTATCTTAACGAGAGATCGTGTACTTCTTCTAAATTCTGTGTTAGAAGTTTATTAAAATAATTAAATATTACTAAACTCCTTTAAAATTTGTTATTTTCTGTTTTTACAGATTTATTTGAAAAAAGCTTACTTAGAAATCTGAAATATATTTTTTGGTAAAAGTATATTTACGGGTATCCCTTGGTGGTTTTTGGCGGTACATGGATACCGAATTTGTGCAATTCTTTGACTTGTTATTTTGACTTTATCTATGTACACGTCAATCTATTTTCAATAAAATAAATCAGAGAATTGCACAAACTTCGCATTGCACACTCCCTTGACTTCCCAAAATATCCATCCATGTACACATCACTATATTTCCATGTACACATCGATATATTTTCACTTAAAAAGTCAAAGGGCACCCAATTCTAGATAAAAGTATATTTATGGAACATTCAACTACTCAGGTTACCATAAATTAAACAACTTTGCAATAAATGAATCAACAACTTCATGATAATACGAGGGATACCCTTCAGCCTACTCTAACTTATTTTTTTAATATTTAGAAATATTTGTTCCTTAAAATTAATTTGTCATGTAGCTGAATTCATATATTGATTTCCATGTGTTTATGTGTTTTTTCCATCCTTAGTTTCATGACATATTCTTTAAAAAAATTAACATCTAAGTATTTTTCATGCAGAAAATAATCAGGCTGTATAAAGTAAACAAAGCTATCTAGATGAGAAAATGAAAAAGATTATCTTAAGATTAATGAATGTGTCTGTGATTTTAGGAACCTGAACTTCAATCTTAGGACCTCTTGACACTTCAAATAATAAATGTTTCAAAGATGAAGTTCAGACATTTTGCATGAAATACATGAGTTGAGGTAGCTACAGTTTAAAACATAGGGGCCAAAATATAATCACTAATTTTCAAAACAATTAGTAAAGGGATCATGAAACTATGAAAATTAGTATTATGGATATGTTTGATAACATAACAGGCTGAAAATGACAACAGCTTGAATCCATGGCTTTGGACCAGACCAACAAAATCGAGATATTTGATTTCATGTTGTAAAGAGCCGAATGAATTATCCAGTTTGTTTCTCTTTGTTATTTTTAGGTACTTATTAGTTTATCATTAGTTCAGTTTTGTTTTTAATTTTATAATGCTCAGAACTAGGAAAAAGAAGCTATTTAACTACTACTTATTGTGAAAATTTCAGATTGCTTTCAAAACCTTGTATATTAAACTCCAAGTTATTAAATTTTTTTAAATAGTGATATTTCTCAATATTTATCAAGGTTTCGTGTAAGAATAACTAGGAATATAAATTTGTTTTTGAAAAATTTCATGTATTTTTGCACTTTGTTTTCAGTTTATTGAAAATGACAGAAATAGTGTTTTGAAAAATATATTTAAAAATTGAAAACACATTTGAAAATTGAAAGTGAAAAAAACATTTTGAATTTGTGTTTTTTATTTTTCTCCCCCCCCCTTCTTCCCCATAAGGTGAAATGTTTATGCTAACTATGTGATGTTTTGACAAAGATTGTAGGACTGTCATAAAACTCTTTGGTGGAAAAATAATAATCTCTTATTTTCACACAGTAAGCTGAATAGAGCATATATCACTGGTAGCTTATCACTGCTTATGTCTTAGTGAACAAACTGGTTAAATGGGCATAATATTAATGGAGTCAGTTTTCTTTAGAAAATCCTCCACAAAGTCGTACTTTCTCTTAAAATATATCACTTAAGCACTTTGCTATAATTCAATTATCCTTCCACTCATATTTGGTATAACTGGCATATAATTGCCACTGAGCTACACAAACTTCCATTTATCCAGCCTTGAAGGAAACAAAAATGAGTTTTTTAATTTCTTATGAAAAACAATTCTGTATACTTAAATACTTTTTAATTAGATGTATATCTGATGCCTGTATTTAGTAATAGCAAATAGCATAGTAAAAATACTTCATGCATTTTTAGTTTTATTAATCAGTGTTTTTGACAGTAAAAGCTGTGAAATTCAAGCAGAATTTATCTGTCGTCCATAGGACTGTCATTCTTGTTGTACTGTATGGAACATGTTAAACACTTCATTCATAATTAATTTAATATTAGTACTATAACATTCAAAATGCTGCTTTAGAGAATATTAATAATAATTATTCAAAATTAACATTCTGCAAGGTCATGGGTGTTCAATTAAATGAATACTCATCATCTTGCAACACAACTGAAAAAGCTTAGTAGTCATTATCTAATAGCACATATAGATGAGTATTATCTCTAGATTCAGAAATTGTAAATATGATGTTAATCTTGATTTTAAAATCACATTATATGTTTCAGGGCATTTTGCATTACTATAGAAATTAATAAACTAATCAAAAAATAAGTTACAATATGCTGATTCAGACATATATTAATATAAGTTGTTAAATTTATGTATACCTGTTATGCAAAACCATATTAATGTAAAATATCCATGAGTTGTATATATTAAAAATGTATATATATATATATACATACTAGGCATAGCATTTTGAATTACCTGTTTTGAAAATAATGTACATGGCCCTAGTGACAGCATAATGATCTTTTTTACTACACTTTTTCATTTTCATACATATCTTGCAGAACCTTACTTCTGCACTTTGTCTATATTTGAAACACTGTCTGTCAAGTGTTATAGAAGAGGAGCTGCACTTTGTGGATGTACGATGGAAGATTAGATGTAGATAACTTTGTAGTATTGACTGTCAGTCAATACTACAAAGTTTTTTTTACAAAGTCACATTTTATCAGATCATGGAGCAATAGCCTATGCAACAAATATATTTTATGTTGTATGACTTAGTTTATCAGCAGCCAGGGAGTGCTAACCTCTGCTACAATGTATGTTTAAATGTAGCTTTGATTGTTAACCTGTTAAATGTCATGCCTGAAATAATCTCGGGCACAGCACTAGTATTCCAAAATGTCACGCCCGAATATTACTCGGGCTAATTTTTTTTTAGTGCATCTTATTGTTATACCCGAATATATATCACAAGAAGTTTATTTTGGCCTCAGTTCAACAGATGGCAACATTCTACTGAAGGTTTCAAAGGATAGAGGTTAAAGTTCAAAGTGCGTGGCATTTTTTTGATTTTTTCGACTGCAAGGCAAACATTTCATTTTGGAAATAAAAAAAATTGACAATTTATGCACCCAAATAATCAAAATAACTTGACAGTTAAAAAGTTAATAGCTATGAATGCTATATTGCCTATGTAGCAGCATGTGTTTTGTGTAGAAAAGTTTATAGAAACGAAGTGAATAGTAATAAGTCAGCATAACTTGAGGAAAGAGTTTTGTGAAAAGCATAGATAATGAAAAGTTTCTAATCAGAAGGCAATTAGGTGAAACAATAGAATAGTAGTGAATATGTACAGAACAAAACACAAAATTTTGGCTTGCTGTATCTGATTCTATAAGAAAAGATTATGTAACAAAATATAAAAGCACATGTAAAAACCATGTTTTTGTATTTATATGATAAAGAATAACAAAAAATACTGACAATTTACCTTTACCTGTTACTTGAAAAATGTATGGTTGCGCTGGAAAGATTCAGTCACTTTTGTAAGGAATATCCTGTGTCTATCAAAAGACCTAAAGAATGCAAAACCCTCATTTTGGGAACAGAATTTGGATAGTGTTTATACTCAAACACCAAAAAACTGATAAGGATAAAAAAAAAAAAAAGTTCATTCTCTGAATGATGAATCAACTGCATAACTCAAACTTGTAAGATTCACTACTTCCTCTTTCCTTAAGAAGGGAAATTTTCAAAATTTCCATCATGGTATCAGCTTTGAATAGAGCTCTGTCTGACAATTCCATCAAAGAATTGAAATGGAATCACTATATCATTCTCATAGACTGGGTGTTACAGTTTGCTTTAGAATGCAGAAAAGGGATTGAACATTAAAGAAAAGCAATGTAAAGGTTGCCCCCCCCCAGATGGAATATGGAATGTGCATTCTAGCATATTAAACATAGAATATTTTATGGACTAATGATTTTTTTTCATTAAAATTCGCAGAAATTCCAGAAAAAAAAAAACAAAAAGTTTCTATCAGAGATATCTATATAATTCGTTGTATCCCATTTTCCTACTTCTGGAAGTTTGCTACAGCAGTGTATAAGAAATTGGATGGAATCAAAGTGTTTGTTATATTTGGGGATTCGTCATATCAAGGTTTGACTGGCAATATCCACTTTGTAGTATATAAAATCTGAATAATAAAAGTATTTCATATACTATCCAATATGTGATAAATAAAATCTTAATATAATTTTTAATTTACTTTTGCCCACCGGGGACTGAGTAGTAGACTTGCTGAATGCTGGTAGTTCAACCTGGGTTTCAAATCCTGGTTCATAGAGTTTTTGTGGTTTTCTCTGTGTGTTAAGTGGATACAAGTAGTTTCTGTTAAAATGTCCTTCATGGGGCATCCCTTGAGTTGCTTTGCCTTAATCAATTAATGTAATCTAACCTTTGAATTTAATTTTAAATTATTACCACCAAATTGTAGCAGCTTTCATGGCATAGTTTAGCTACTGATTTGTTAGAACTTATTGCTTACTATTTTTATATTATTTTCAGTTTTATATATATATATATATATATATAATTAATTTAAAATATTAACTTTTTCTTATAAGCTACTTATTCAGAGGCAATAGGCAATATATGATGGCCTCTTTATTAGTCTTATATCCATCCTGTCGATTATACATAATCAAAAAAGGCTGTATAACTGTTTTATACTTGCATTTCTTATCAGATTTTAATTAACAGATATATTGTTTCAATTAGATAAATATTATTTTGATAATTTTATACCTCTTGGCTTTTTCATTAACAATTTTATATATCTCTGGTACTGCTTCTAAGTTAGGCAGAACCAATGCTTACCATCACTGTACTCTCCTTGTTGATGTTGATGAAGAGAAACTTCAACAGGCTTTACACAGAGATTTGGTAAGGATAAACATAGTCTTTTATATTCAGGAATATTTGATTCTCAAATTAAAATGCTTTATATAAGGTTTGTGTATATCTAGGATTGCATTGAAAGCAAAGCAACATCAAGCGTTCGTGCTAAAGTAAAAAATCTGAAATCTGTATGTTCAGCTTTAAATGTGGATAACTTAATGTATGCAGTTGCAGACGAGTATAAACAATACTATAAAGTAAGTATACGCAATCTTGTGATTTATTTAAATAGTTTTGCTTGCTTATTTCTATCTTGTTATATATCGGCTTTTATGTATTTCTATTACTGTTCATTTGTTTTTGTTTATTTAGTATGTTATGTTTATTTTGTGCATTTTTGTATTCTTTAATTTATGGCCACTTACTGCATTTGTATGTGTTTAGTATGTTTATTATTTTGTAGAACTTCTTATTTTTGAGCAAATCAGTTCTGGAATTCTGAAAACAACACTAGGAGAGAAGTTGATATAGATAAAAAAATATTTGTTAAGTGATAATAAATTTGTTGTGAAATTGGTAGTATTTAAAAATTTTCTCCTGTTTCACCAGTTCACCATATTTCATTTTTTTAAACATATTTTTAGAACGTAGACCTGATTTTTAAAAACGTTATAGTGGTATTATTTTCCTTACAATTAGAAAGCTGTGATGAGCTGATATTTATTGGTGTACAAATAAATTTTGAACTATTTCTAAGGCAATGTATCATGCATTCGAGAAAAAATGATTATATCTTTAATCATAAAAAATGTAATGTCATTATCTGTGCATCTTATTGTTTGGGCACCTAGCAAATTTTAGAAGTGTGCATTGACTAGAACAATGTTTTTGAAAGGATTAAGTTTGGATTATACACGGGGTGCTGTAAAACATCCCATTCAATTTCCAATAACATTTTCTTGACCATTTTTTAAATGTGTAGCTGAGGATTACCTAGAAGCAATGTTATGGAGTGAATCACTTTGCCAGTTAATTGCTATTTTTGAACAATTTTCTGTTTCAGTTACAGTAATTGTTGCTTGTAGCTGTAATATTTTTATTTTTTTCCAAAAGTTCATAAATGAGTACATATTGCATACTCTTTCAGATGCACAACAGAACTTTTTTGGGATATCAATGTTATATCTTCATCAGGATCTCTTCTGTATTCTTTTTTGTTTGGGATTTTTATAAATGTAGTACTTTCTCATCTCATCTTCCATGAAAGACATTCTGTGTTATTTTTTGAACAAATTCAAATATTTAATTCTTCACATATTTTATTCTTGAGGCTCAGTTCGTATCCATGTTTTTGCCTTCTGAATCTTTCTTAGTAACTGGAAAGAGTTTGTTGAATAACTCAGAGTTCTACTGCAAGTTTGTTTTTATTTGAAGTAAAGCTTCATCGAGCATTACTTGTAATTCTTCATATGTTACCTTCTGTAAAATATTCATTGTATTCTCATCTGGCAACACTGAACTCTAAATCATCAAAAACAAACCCATGAATGCTTTTAGATTCAGTATTCTCTTCTGCACAGAAAGATTGATGCATTTACTTTTACAGGACTTTCATGAAGACACTCATAATGGATGCAGTGACAGATAAATCCCTTGTTGCTTGTCATTGTGCGTGATGGCACTCATAACTAATGCAGTGAAAAATAAATGCCTTGTTGCTTGCCTTCTTTAATCTGACAATGTTTAAGTGTACTTCTCTGTTGGGCTACCTTCTGTATGACTTTTTATTCTCTGGACCAGTTACATGACCCACCCATTCCCCCCAAAAAAGGAAATGTTTGATTTGAAATTTAGCGGTATATGTTATACAGTAAGTTGCACCTATTATTTGGTCTGTTTTAGATTTAATGTGTACTTGAGCTTAATCGGCAGTAATTTGGAGTCTTGACTGTGAGAACGATTTTGTAATTTGTGATGTTTATATTAAGGGGAACTTCAATATTATGCCTGCTTCTTTTGAACTATTTTTCTTCCTCTATAAAAACTGTTGCCACTTCATACTGAGACAAAGGTCAAATTTTTCTTTTCAACCTTATTTAGTTGGTTTTCAGAGCTAAAACTTTTAAAGAAAAAGCAATAAACTTTTTCACTTTTCCTAAAATGCAATAAATTAGCCATTTTATTCTTTGTTATAATAAATATAATGTTAACTAAATAAAAATTACTTTATATTCTATTTTTGTTTTTCCTTAAAAATTATATTTTTAAGAGATAATTCTTTTTTTAATATCTAATTACTATATCTGTCTTTCAATCTAAAAATATTTTCATAATTTAAAATTGTATCATTGCAAAAAAATGTCACTATGCATGCTATTTGTGAATTGTGTTTAAAGATCTCATTATGAAACAAAATTAATGAAATCTATGACAACTTTTTAAAAACTTCTTCTTTTCAAAATGTGTAAAGGTAATTCAAATTGCATGTGTGCAAACAAATTGTATTATATTTACATATTTAAATGTTATATGTAAAGATAGTATATTTCTATTAAATTAAATAGGAGAAGTTTTCTGAACTTTGATTGGAAGCAATTAGAAATAATCAATAAATTTATTAAACAAAACAATTGTTAAAATTTTGCACTGTTAATTTCTAAAAGTAATTTTTCTTTGAAAAATATGCTAGTTTTTATGAGCTGAGATTTTCACTGTCGTATTATGAAATAATATCCAATAATCAACATGGCTACTTACATATTATTCCGTCAACACTTGGAGGAAATTTCAGCAATGTTCACCAATCATTACTAGAGAATTCTAAAGGACACAGAATAAGAATGCAGAATTCTGACAGAAAGGATACAGAGTTCTGGCTAAGTAGTACTACTTGGCCAGTCGATAGGATAATACATAAAAGCCTCAACATGTTTTAAGAGTTTTTATTGTTGAAAAGACAACCCCATTTTAAATGAATTTATTTTATGCCTGAAGATTGGATTTCATATAGTAAATTCAACTTTGCTGTCATGTATAAAAGTTGAACATACTGCAGTGCTGCATAATGAGAGCAATTTGTTCAATTTCACATATATTGTGTCACATAATCTCTGGATATAGCAGACCTGGATAGTTATACACTTTGTACTTGATGAATCAGTTAATGAATTGAAAGAAGAGTAGAGTGTTCAGGAGATCTAAATTATGAAATCAATTAGGTAGTATTCTTTAAATAACATTCATGTTTACCTCTTGCAGTATATAATGTAACACCATAGAGCTGAAACTAAGAGCTTGCTGATGATACTATATTGCACCATGTTATATGAAATTTTCACACAAAATTGCATTAAGTTACTGTAATTAATGTTTCAGATGTAATTTTTAAGCTGGAAAAATATTATAATAAATTGCAGTACACAATCTTCCTACTTCTAACATTGTTGGTGTGTGCTGTAAGGTTTATTTTCATTAACATGTTTTTACTTATGTTAAAAATCTGTTGTATATCTGTACTGCTTTATCTCCTCCACCAGAATACATGAATAACATCAGTTTTAGACTAAGAACTTAAATTTGGAGTATCAGCAATGCTAGCTGGCTGTGAAATCAACTGAATTTACCTATAGATACCTTTTTAAAATAGAAAGATGAAATACTTAAACATATTTCCACTACACTTAATCACTTCAAGTTTCAAAGTACATTAAATTGGTCACAACTACTGTCTGATATAAAAAATTTAAAAAAAAACTTTTTACTATTACAAAAATAGATAAAACAAATAATAACTTTAGCATTATATGAAAACAATTTTATGTAGCAATTATTAATAAAAAACTTTTCAATGCAACTACTTATCAATTAGCAAACCTTACAAAAACATCTATAATTAACAGAATTTAAACTTTTCATAAAAAACTAAATACTATCTTTTTAAATCCAAAATACAACAGATTTACTAACCTATATGCACTTCCCAAATTTAAAAATTCAGATTTATAGCAAATGGAATTAATAACTACAAGAAAAATGTAGACTAATATTTTGCAATTCAGCTTAAAAAAATTTGTAAAATTATTTTCAATAATTGTAACACTAATCATAACTATTGCTAGATCATCCATAATAACACTCTTGTCATTAATGCCATTCAAACAATTTACATACAAAACATTAACTGCTATGACTGTGAAAACTAATATACCTCACTTCCTTCAGAAGAAATCTATACTAGTCTACTAGATCTGCCTAAACTCTTCCCTGCTATGCTCACGATTATGAACATTACTAAATGGAAAACCTACCTAAAATGGAAAACCTACCCTTTTTTGTAACTACATTAAATTTCAAAATCAACTTTTTAAACAAGTCGGAGGACTTCCATTGGGCGCACATTCCAGTACTTCGATCTGTAATCTCTTTTTATTTATCAAAAAATTTACCTTCCAAAAAAAATTTACAACAGCAAGAATTAAATTACTACAAGCACACTTACAGATATATAGATGATCTTAGTACATTTAATAATTTTAATAAGATTGAATACTCCGAGATTTATTCAGAATGCTTTACACTTAATAAGACTAATCATTCAGAAAATAACATCGAGTATCTCGATCTTCAAATAATTAACTACAAAAAAATTTTGCTGTTTGAGAAAACAAGAAACTTCAATTTCAATACTAACAAATTAATAAATTGGACTTCCAACATCTCCAAAAAAGTGATTTAGTAATACAATCTTAAATCAAATACCACATATTAAAAATATTTGCACAGATACGATAAATCTACAGCTCTGAATTTTGCTCCTTATTAAAATTCTCAAAAATAATCTAATACCTAATTGATTTATTAACCATTGTCTTAAAAGGGCAGGTATTAAATACTCACTCTAAATCATTTAACTGATAGGGATATGATAATTTATTCCTAAACCTGAGAAGGCAGTATAAGTTGGATGACTATCAGTTGGAGGATCTGCACATAGTGTAATTACAAAATTGTATACAGTACAAAGTCTTTAATCCGGACGTCCATAATCGGGAATGATCTATAATCCGGATCTCAAAGCTACAAACATAATGCGTTTACGCATGCGCATAATACCTTTACCCATGCGCATATGCGTTTACGCATGTGCATAATACATTTACGCATGCGCGGTTAATGTATAACGCACGGTATAAGCTAGGCTAAAATTATCTAATTATCTATTTCAGTTAATGTTGCAGATTGCATTGTTTCTTAATCT